GCAGAAAACACAAACAAAAGTACAGGGGTTTAGAGACCCAGTTTCAACTCTATTGGAATGTTCTAATGGGATTGGACACTCATGTGAGAGACTAGGTGTGAGCATTAGTACAATGGTCACAATCTACGTATTATCCCTGATATCCTTGTATTGTAGGTAAAGGAAGTGGGGTGTGAGGATGTACAGTCCAGGTAGCTATAGGAGTCAGTGGGTTTGTAAGTTTTAGAAAGGAGGCAAGTGGCTCCACAACCAATGCATCAAATCTAAGCTCTGCAGTCCTGCCACATCCAGAACAATTAAAAAACAGTTCCACAAATATCCCAATTCTCAATGATGGAGGAGCCCAGCACATCAGTGCAAAAGACAAGGATGAAGCATTCACAGCCATCTCCAGAACTGCCAAGTGGATGATCCATCACAGCCTCATCCAGGTGGTACCAAGCATTACCTGATGCCAGTCTTCAAACAATTTGATTGAGTCATCGGAGAAATGGTTAGAGGCACTGGGTATTGCAAAGGCCATGGGCCCTGACAACATTCTGGCAATTGTGCTTAAGTCTTGTACTTCTGCACTTGCTGCTCTCCTACCCAAGCTCTTCCAGTACAGTCACAACACTGACATCTGTGGATGCCAGATGTGGAATCCAATGATATGAAAAATTGCCTGGGTATGTCCTGCACACAAAAGCCAGGACAAATCCAACCACCCCAGTCGGCTTGCGATCATCAGCAGTAATAGAGGGGGTCACCAACAGTGCTAGCAAGCAGCATGTGCTTAGCAAGAACCTGCTCAACGATGCCTAGTTTGAGTTGCGTCAGGGGCACTCGCTCCTGACCGTATTACAGCCTCTTCAAATATGCCACAAACACCATGAACTCCAAAAGTGAGGAGAGAATGACAACTCTTGACGTAAAGGCTGCATTTGACCAAGTAAAGGTATCAGGAGCCCCAGATAAACTGGAATCAATGGGAATCAGGGGGCAAACTCTCCACTAGCTGGAGTCATACATAACACAGACAGTTGTTGTTGTTTGAGGTCAGTCATCTCAGCTTCAGAAGTTGCATGACTTCTCACAGAAGAGTCATAGGCCGCAGCAACTTCAGTCCATCATAAAAGGTCAGAAGTGGGGATGTTTACTGATGATCGCACATTGTCCACAACTCCTCAGATACTGAAGCAGTCTATGTTCAAATGCAACAAGATCTGGGTAATATCCAGATTTGGGCTCACAAGTAACAACTTTCACACCAAGTGCAAGGCAAAGACCATTGCCAATATGGGACAACTGTCCCTTGAGATTAGACAGTGCTACCATTACCAAATCCCTTACTCTCAATATCCTCAGAGTTACCATTGACCAGAAACTCAACTGAACTTGCCACAAACACGGGAGATACAAGAGCAGGTCAAAGGCTAGGAATACTGTTACAAGTAACTCACCCCCTGACTGTCCAAAGTCTACCAACCACCTAAAAAGGCACAAGTCAGAAGTGTGATGGTATAATCCCCACTTGCCTGGATGGGTGCTGCTCCAACTACGCTCTAGATCAAAGCAGCCACTTGTTTGGCACCACATCCACTCCCTTTATGACCAGTGCTCGGTTCCAGCAGTGTGTACTACCTACAAGATGCACTGGTTAATTTCTGCAAAGATTCTTAGACAGCACCTTCCAAACCCATGGCCACTTCCATCTCATAGGAGCACATACATGGAAACATCCGCACTTAGGAGTTTCCCTCCAAACTAGACACTATCTTAACTTGGAAGTATAATCTGTTGTGGATCAAAATCCTGGAATTCCCTTCCCCCTGAAATTATGGGTCAGCCTATAAACACATGGCTTGTAGTAGCTCAAGGTAGCAGCTCACCACCATCATCTCAAAGGACAGGCAATAAATGCTGGCAAGCCAGTGATGGCCTCATTCCATAAATACATAAATATAAAAAACCCCATCTAAAATTGTCACTGTGCTTTTTTTTTGTTTCTATCAGCGATTAAAATTTCATCACAGTAAAAAAAAGGACCTTTTCCAAATCAACTTAAAATCTGATCCATAAGACACTGGAATGATGTAGGTACAAATGGGATTCCACGTGGAAGTCTCTTATATTTGAATAGCTGGTTATGCACTCCAGTTATCAAGTACTTCTAAGAGCCAGGATCTACGTTTGTCTGGAGATAGCTTGACTGAGGTCATGTTACTAAAATATTGATCTCTAGCTAGTCCAACAATAGGTCATCAATTAAAAAACAAAAAAGGATACTGTTCAACTCATAGTACCAGACCTTAAAATCACTGCAGATATGTCCTGATCTTTCTTCATCACTGGTACGATAGCTTTGACCACTCACACATTTATGGGTTCAAGGTCTCCCATCTTGGCCAGTCTCTCCAATACGGCCTTGAACTTTGGCTTGACAAAGCACTGATCTAGCCTTGCAAATTTTTGCCTGATTCTTGTCTTAGATTTTCATTTTGAAAAAAAAAAAAAAAAAATTTCCAAGCTTCCCACATCCCCATCGAATACAATGGCATGTTTCTTTAGAATTTGAGATAGATCAATCCCAGCCCAGTGGTGTTTGATTTTCTCCAACCACATTCTTCTCAATAGACCTGTAAAAAGTTTTCAACAATGCGAAAAGGACAAATCCTCAGACTGACCCTACAACTGAACATATACATTGATTCAACCCCTTTTTAAAAAAAAAAGGCACCACTTCAGCCATGTACATTCTTAGTAATATTTGAGGGTCACAGGGCATTATGGTTCAACTACTTTTGATTTATTTTCGGGTATCAGTGAAACTGCCACTCTGGCATCCACCTCCATTCTTACTGCTTTGCCATTCAGTAAAAGGAGTAACCCAGTATTGGTTAGAGTCAGTAACATTTAATAATATTTCCTCTCAGGCTGAGAGTCTGGCCTTTTCTTAATGCCCTTTTTGTTCAGTGCAACTTCTCTTCACTCCTCAGATTCTGTACTTTTTACCCAAAGCACACCCATTCAATACATCTTTCCTTGCAGCAGTTTCTACATACAGCTTCTTCACATCAGCAATTTGTTGCTGTATGATTGGTTTCTCCACACCTGATGACACAGGTGACATGTTGGTCTCAGCATACACAAGCTCCCTATTGAGCTTCCTTGGCTGGTGGTTGCATTAGAACTGCAACACTTTAAGTCTAGTTTTCATTCCATCAGTAATCTCTTCTGGATTGCTTCAGATCTTAAGAACATGCCAGTCTGTCCTGATAACATGACTTAAGTTGTCTCCAAATTTGTAGAATTCAGCTAACGTCTTTAAAATTGCTGCAAACTGGGAACAGATTCACCATCACGCTGATTAAATTTCTATAATCTAAACATTTCAGCAATCCACAATGTTGGAAAATGGTTCTACAGGAATTCTACTATTTCTTCATTGAGGCTTTGGAACCTAACTTCTCTTACCAGACTCCTCAGGGAAGGTTAAAAGCTTTTCCTCCCTTACTGAAAGGAGGAATGATTATACCTGCTTAAGTTTTATTAGCTTGAAAAAAAATAACAGAATTTCTTTGTAGGAACTCTAGCCCTATGTTCATCATGGCCATATGAAGCTAAACATTCCTGTTTTTCAGAAATGGGAATGGCCCACGTAGCAATGTACCACCATTGTCTCTACCCCAGTCACTCAAGGCATGGCTAGCTTATTCTGCGCTGTTCACCTATTCCCTGGGTTAAATTTTATTTTTCCAAATTGACTTTACTTTCCTTTTTTTTTTTTTAAAAAGACAATTGAAGTAACTCCAACATCTGCAGTTAGGACAATTATTTTAAAATAAAATAAAAACAAAATCAGTGGATTGATCTTGTAGATCTCAAAGTTTTTAACCTCGTAACTACTTTTCTTCTCACGTTACATTTGAAGAACAACCAGGAGACAAAAAAAAAGTGTTATGTAACAGGAACTTTACTAAGGTGGTGTTCACTCTGCAGACACCTAGGTTAGACAGATTGAACTGTTTTTTGCCCATGTTGACTAGTAGTAACTATTTAATGCTAACTATTACTTTATTTTTCTATTTATTCTATGAAGGTCTTTAATGTTTAAACTTTTAAAATTTTGTTTCTCTTTTACTACTTTGTACCTAAGCTTTTGTACCTAGATACTTTTGTACCCAAGGTGGTCACGTTAGACGACGTTATACACTTTTCGCATTATTGTCGTATGTATTCAAGTACAAGCAGTAAAAAAAAATCTAAATATGGCCAATGATGTCATGTGATCAGATGATTCTAAAATGAGACATCATACTTATCAAATACACAACAAGACACTCCATCTGCCCAGAAAGTTGGTATTCTAGCACAGTTGTACTTGTTGCAGGATGGCATGTTCCAAAGTTGGCAACTAGGTGCTGAGACACTCTAAAGCTTGGCGCAGGTGCCCCAAGTGGAGAAAGGTTGCCGTTTAAGGTATTTCAACCATATCCTCAGAGGGGTTGATGTATCCTATTGGTCTGCAAGTTTGTCACCATGTATATTAGAAAATGTCACATGTATTGCACTTGGAATTAATATATCCAAGAGAATACTCAATGAAGAGGGTTACATTTTTTGCTTTTCCAGAGTCTAATTTGAAGCTTTCCTTTGAATATACTTTGATATTTTATGAATTAAAAAAGGTACAATTTTGTAAAAAGAAAGTTACTTTTCTTTAGTGTGATAAACTAGAGGAATTTCATGCCAGTTGCAATACTTGGTAGACGGTTAAGTCGTCAAAAATAGAAAACTAAAATTCAACTTTAAAGAGACTAGTCAAAGTTATTTTTCCTTCCTTTATTAAGGATTAAGGTCGAAATCAAATCAATGTCTTAACTGAAAGTTAAATAAGCCCTGCTTCTTCCTCCATAACAAACAGTAAGAGTTTGAAAGTGTATTTCATAACTTTGAAGTATTGTTTTATAACTAGAACCTAAATGGTGCAAAGGAATATGGCTGATTTCAGCACTCACCAAGCTTGATTTCACATAGCCTCAGCCTGGGGTCTTCTGGGGGATGCAGGCGTCTCTTCTTTCGCCAGCAGCGTGCAGGGTAAGTATACAACTGCCCTGGTGCCACCCCTACAAGATATGTCAATCCTGGATCAGAACACCATATGCATAGGACAATTCCATATAAGCACGAATTCTTTACAGCGAGCTAGTTTCAAGTCACTTTGCTCAGGGGTTTTCCTTTAGAGTTCAAGGATTAGCGGCCTGAATTTCCAACCCAGTTCTCTAGACACACTGCATATGGAGACCAGAAGGAAATTAAGAGCAGAACCTGCATTGTTGGGTCAATGAGTTGGTTATTCCACAGGAGGTCAGGATAGTAGCTAAGTAAGGGGAGAGCAAAAGGGGCAGGAAGTACAGACATTTAAGGTTTTTGCTGCTCTAAAACAGGTACTCAGCATTGGATACTGATGGAAGTAACAATACTGTAAAGCAATGCAGTCTAGACCACAATACTAACTGGTAAGGGAATGCACAGGAGGCAATTGCAAAGTACTGAAATGCAGCCAGACTCCATAGTTGGGGAACTGCCAGTATTTGTACCCATCATGGCCCCTTATGCCAGGCTAAAAAAAGTTATCACAGACAGGACTCAAATTGGGATACACAGTAGGACCAATGGCACAGACAATATCCTATATAGTCAGATTTTCCAGAGTCAAGGAATGAATAAGTAAATTTGGATCCTCAAGGCTGGTATTCTCTGGATTACTCAGTCACATGCTAGCAAGAATAGAAATAGAGTGTTTACGAGGATCATTACATTGCTAGGTGCATTGCAAGAGGAAAGCTTCTGATTTTTGGTATGTTTGGATCAGTTCTGGGTTAAAAGGCACCAAAACAAAAAAAAAAAAAAAAAAAAAAACAGGCTGCAACAACCCAAAAAAAAAAAAAGGACTGGGAACCATAATGGTTAGGGATGGTTGACACTACATGCAAACAAGAATATAATGTGTTCAAGCATGGTAGGGAAGGAAATAAAGGGCAGTGGGTTTGAAAACAAGATTTAGCAAAGTCATTAAAATGTTAAAAAAGGGATGTCTTAAAGTGGACAAGGGCAGAGCCCTTATGATTGGTGTTGGATTTGATAGAATGTGGTATTAAGTAGCCCAAACAAAACTAGATTTAATGGGAATCAGGTTAGAGCCATCCTAGCACAAGCGGAAGATGGCCACAGTTGTTCGATGTCCATCGTCTCAGTTCCAGATCATTACAATAGTTCAAGTAGATATAGCAAGGGAAAGACCATAGGTCCTCAACCAGTAGTTTAGCAATGAAGTACAGCATAAACCAGGAAATACTTGTAAAGAATAAAGTTTGACAATAATCATGGGTGATTTTAATAAGCATTTTAAATTGGAGTAATCAAATTGGCAAGGATAACCAAGGGGGAGTTTGATGTTTTAGAGACTATTTCTTGGATCAATGTGGGGGGAACCAGCCAGGGAGCAACTAACTAGGGAGCATGCCATTCTGGATTTGGTATTGTGTATGGAGGTGGGATTAATGACTGATCTCACAGTAAAGAAATTTGAAAGAAGACCAATCATAACATTTCAGGATTTCAAAATCAGTTTGAGGGTGAGAAACTGGAGTCCCACACTAGCAGTCTGGAGTTAAACAAAAGATAAATTATATAGGCACAAGGGCAAATTTGGCCCTAGTGGACTGGGCTGGAAGACTAAAAGTTAGGACAGTTGATGACCAGTGGCAGATGTTTTGCTCTCAACCAAAATATATTCTAAATAGGGAGAAAGTTAAAGGGAAGAAAAATATAATCTATGGCTAAGCAAGGGAGTTAAAGATAACAAAGGCAAAAAAAAGCACATCGAATTGCAAAGGCCAGTGGTAGGCTGGAAGATTGGGAAATTTTAAAGTTCAACAAAAATGTTAATAAAAGTAATAAAAAAAGAGAAAAGGTAAATTATGAAAGTAGCATGAAATTTAAACATGAACAAAAACTTCTTGAAGTATATAGAAAGGAAAACAGTAGCTGAAGCAAATGCTGATCCATTGCAGGAGGAGACTGAGGAATTAATAGTCGAGAACAGAAATGACAGACGCATTAAATCAATCAACATATTGGCTCCGTTTTCACAGTGGAGGACACTGGTCCATTTGAATAATAACAGGTAATGCATGGGTTATAGGAAGGGAAGTACTTAGAACAATCACTTGGGAAAAAATACTAAGCAAACCAATGAGATTGAGGGCAGGGGCAAGTGGCCAGGGTCTGACAGCCTACATCATAGGGTCTTAAAGGAAGTGGCAACAGAGATGATGGATCTATATAGTTATAATATTCCAAAATTCCTTCAATGTGAGAAAAAGGTTCCAGTGGATTAGAAAGATGCTAATATAACGCCCCTATTCCAAAAGGGAGTCAGAAAGTAGGAAAACTATAGACCAGTTAGTTTAAACTTCTGTCGTTGGGAAGTTATTAGAATTCATTATTAAGGAAATAACAGGACATTTAGAAAGTCAAAATGCAATCTATCAGTGATAGCACAGTTTTATGAAGGGTAAACTGCATTTGACTGGAGTTCCTCAAAGACATAACAAGCAACATAGATAATGGGGATTCTTGAGATGTAGTATACTAGACTTCCAGATAGCATTTGACAAGGTGTCATACAAAAGGTTAATACACGGTAAAAATCACATGGTATTAGGGATAATTTACTAGCTGGGATAAAGGATTGGCTAACCAACAGAAAGCGGAAGTGTCTTTCTGGTTGACAAGATGTAACTACTAGGCTAAGTCCTTGAGCCCAAACTGTTTATAATCTAATGTTAATGACTTGGGTGCATAGAAGGTATTTTAGGCAAATTTTGCAGATGACACTAAAATAGGTGGGACACTAAGTTGGAAAAAAATACTACATTTACAAGTGTATATGGATAGATCAGGTGAATGGGCCAATTTTTGGCAGATACGTCTAACGTGGATAAGTGGGAGGTTATTCATTTTGGTTGGAAAAATAGAAAGGTAACTTATTTTCTAAATGCATACTTCAGAGTGCTTCAGTGCAGAGGGGATCTGGGTGTCCTCAAGCATGAATTGTAGCTAATAAGATGACAAATGGAATTTGGCATTTATTGCTAAAGGAAGAGAGTATAAAAAGTAGTGAAGTGCTGCTATAACTGTACAAGGCAGTGGGACCACACGGAGTATTAAATAGAGATGTAGGTTTAGAGACAGTTCTAAGCAGATTCACTAAATTCATTCCAGAGGTGAGTGTTTGTCTTTTGAAGAGATACTGAGCAGTTTAGGCCTATACACTCTGGAGTTTGAAAGAATTCAGATCTAAATTGAGATATACAAAATGCTAAAATATTTTTAAAAAGCAGACTTAGAAAGGACATTTCCTCTTGTGGAGCAATCTAGAATGAGAAGTCTGGTTTTAGGATAAGCAATAGAAAATTTAAAACAGTGATGAGGAGGAATTACTTCTCTCAAACCATTGTAAATCTGTGGAATTCACTTCCCCAGAGTGCATTGGTTGCCAGGACATTGAGTAAATCTGACCATGAGATAGACAGATCTTTTTTGTTTTTAAAAAGTTGATGACTGGTTGAAACAGGGCTGGACAGGAAAGTGAGGATTGACAGGACATCAGCCATGATCTCATGAATGGCAGAGTCAGCTTGAGGGCTCAATTGCCTACTGCTGTTCCTAGTTCCTATGTTATGATGTTCTTATACCCTCAGGGTAGTGACATAGATTCTGCCAGCCATCAGGGGGTCAGAAGTGGAGATGATCACTGCTGATTTCACAATGTTCAGGATCATTCAGAATTCTTCAGATGCTGAAAGTGTTCAAATGCAGCAATTTATCAAAAGCTTGACCTGACAAGTGACAGGCAGCGATTATCTCTGACTAGAAGGAATTTAACCATTTCTCTGACATTTAATGGTATTACCATCATTAATTCTCCCATCAACATCCTGTGGGTTACCACTGGCCAGAAATGGAACTAGATTAAATCATAACATCATGGCTACAAGAGCAAAGAGGCTAGAACTCCTGCAGGCAAGTAATTCACTTCTCAATTCCTCAAACATTTGAGCCTTGTGGATGCACAAAACAGGAATGCATGGAATACTCCCCACTTGCCTAAAATGAATGCAGCTTGACACCACGAGGAACAAACTGCCCTTCACATCCACAATCATCATATGGACCAGTAATGTGTATCACCCACAAGCTACCATAAAAAAATTCACCAAAACTCTTGAGCATCCTCCAAATCTTCAAACTACAACCTAGAAGGACAAGGACAGCAGAAGCACAGGAACACCACCACCTGCAAGTCCCCCTCCAAGCCACTCACCATTCTGACTTAGAACTACATCACTATTCTTGGAGTGTAAATTGGTCAAAATCCTGGAAATGTATGCCTAACACCACTGCACGTACACCTAAACTAAGTGGACTGCAGCAGTTCAAGGCAGCAGTTTACTGGCACCTTCAAGGGCAACAGGGGATGGATAATAATGGGAGAGTCAAGCCACTTTATGCATGGAAGTGACAGATCATTGATGTAGTGACTGTAGTGTGGCCAGCCAAGTAGACCTCAGAATAAGCTCCTTGATTAGACCAGATTAACAACCTCAAATCAAGGAGCCCTGGCTGACCGACATAAACAGGAGTGTCAGAGTTTCGGTTCACTCTGACGGCTGACTGAGGAAGCTGGAACAGTGACAAGTACTATGCACGTGTGACTTGGTGATGGGATACTGGCCTCTGTGGAACTATTTCAGTAGCAACGAGAGAAAAAAAAAAAAAAAAAAAAAGTCCTGAAGAAATTCGCCTGCAACAGTTGTCATTGAATTGTGGTAAGCATTTTTGGCATCATGCTGTTTTTTGGGAAACTTGACTCATTTGATTCTGCTGAAGACTGGGCCCAGTACATGGAAAGAATGTGTTTTTTTTCTCCCCAGGCAAATGACAATTGGGGCAGATGAAAAGCAATGAGTAGTTCTCCTGACAGTTTGTGGACCCCATAGCTTTCTCGGTTATCAGGAGCCTCAAGTTTCCTGAGGCACCAGATAGTAAAACTTTAAGAGTTGACGGATTTAGTCAAGGAAAATTATGACCTCAAGCTTCATCTGATTCTGAAATGCTGTCAGTTTTACCTGGCAGTTCCAGAACCAGGGAAGCAGTTTCAGGATTTTTGATTGAGGTTAAGATGACTGGCAGAGATATAGGACTTTGGGTTAACCCCGAATGATATGCTGGGAGACTGTTTGGTATGTGGGATTAACGATGTAACCATGCAAAAACACCTGTTGGCTGAAGCCCAACTGGACTTTAAAAAGGCACAACAATTGGCTTTGTCAGTAGAAAACATGGCAAGTGGAGCATACAAGTTACAGGGTGTGCCAATGGAAGTGGATGCCCTCACCAGGCCAACGGAGCTTGGGGGACACCATTTGAATGAAGGTACTTGCACAGCCTCACTCAGGACATATCCTGAACAGAGAAACTCTAGATCATCCCACAGCAAAACCCCAAAACAAAGCCAAGCCTTGGCCAAATGGTTGCCACTTTCTTCAGGATGCAGTCAGGCAAGTCATTATGGTTACTGCTGGAATGCAGACTTGAGACGACAACGACGATGGAGTTCCACTATGCCTGAATTGATGGGCTGGTATCCAGGAGGGTGCACACCCTGGAAAGCCCACCTGCACCTGGTTTGGAACAGTTAAATTGCTTAACTTCCAAATCAGAACTAATCAAGATGAACATCTAGTTAAATGGTCACTCAATTCTAATGGAGGTTGATACTGGCATGGCGGTATAAGTGATTGCAGAACCAGCCTTCAGTAAAATTTGTTCTGGATTCCAACCCTTAAGTTTGCGAAAGGCCAAGAACCTACACCAGGAAATGTTTAGATTAGTGGTGCATTTTGGTTCTAGTCTCATGAGAAGCAGGGGGAAAATCAGTCATCACCGATTGTAGTAAGAGGCTCAGGTCCAAGCCTGATGGGGGAAACAAAAGGGCTATCAGAGCCAGAACTGAAACTTTTCTGGACCTAGCGAGACCTGATCACTATAGAGGATGGCATTTTACTATGGGGAACATGAGTGATTATCCCAAATAAAAGTCACCGCCAGATACTGGCTGAACTACACCAGGGTCATCCAGGGTGTCCAAAATAAAGGTGTTGGGGAGAGGTTGTGTCTGGTGGCCAGGATTGGATACAGACATAGTCACACTGGTGCCCAGAGTGCCAACAAGGACACAAATTACCACCAGTAGCTCCCCCACATGCATGGGAATGGCTGTAAACCGTGGTTTTGGTTGCACTGTGGTCGATTATGCTAACCCGGTCAACAGCTCAACGTTCTTAGTTATTGTGAATGCCCACTCAGTGTTTGGACATGCATAGAGTTTGTTTGTCAAAACACGGAGGCAACGATAGAAAAGTGGCAAGCATCTTTTGCTATACACAGGCTCCCAGACATGTTGGTCACGGACAACAGGCCATTATTTACCAGCAGGGAATTTGAGTATTTCCTAAAGTCTAATGGCATTTGGCATATGGGGACAGCTCCATTCCACTCACTGTCCAATGGTGTAGCGGAAACAGTCTAAGCTGGCCTTCAAAGTTTAAAGAACCAGCCTACAGCTTCACTTGACACCGAACTGTCCCAGTTCCCATTTCGTGAATCGGTCCATTCAACTACAATGATAGCTCCAGCAGCATTGCTAATATAGTGAGAAGGCTTCGCATCAGGTTAAATCTATTTTCCCAGACCTCTGGGATGAAGTGGCGGGGAAAGAGGAGTGAAATGGCATCAGGAACGCCAATGCCAGACAAGACTCAGCTAAGAGACATTTTACTTCAGGGGATGAAGTTTGGTGTAGGAACCATAGGAATGGCTCTGCATGGGTAAGGGGCATTGTCAATGAGGTCAGGTCCCTTGACATACAAAGTTTTGAGTAAGTGAGGCAGTCCTGAACAAGCACATAGACCATATGAAAGCTGCTAACTTGCAAATGGCGCAGGAGCAAACCATATCTGTCCCCTCAAAACAGCTGGAAAGGCCACTGGAACGGTTGTGCTCGCCCTCTCAGTCTAGCAAAGAAACCTCCGAGTTGGAGATGGACATTGCAGATGTCGCAGCCTTGACCCCTTTACTGCCTAAAGCAAAGAATGAATTTCTTGCACTTGGAACATCTTGGAAGAGGTGGGCTACGGTCTGGTACACACTGCCCACATGCAAGGCCAAGTTGGAGAAACTGGATCAGGTGTGAAAAAACACCCTAGGAGAGGCTACAAGGGAAAAAAAACAAAAAAAAAACACACACACACACACACACACACACACACACGTCGACTGACTTAAAGGGAGAGGGATGTTGTGATTGTAAGAAGGTCAGCCAGGTGGACCTTATAGTATAAATTCTGATTGGACCAGGCTAACAGTCCCAATTAGGGAGTCCTGGCTGACAGATATAAACAAGAGTCTAAGGTTCTGTTCACACTGACAGCCATCTCTAAAGGAAGCTGAAACAGTGACAAGTACTATGCATGTGTAAATAGAGGGGACTTGCATGACAGTCAGAGGACAACAGCACAGAAAAAAAGCCTTCAGCCCAAGTCTGCACCAGCCAAATAACAACCCTAACTACTCCAATTCAATTTTCCAGCATTTGGTTCCTAGCCTTGACATCACAAGAGCACACCTCAAATGTTTGAGGGTGTCTACCTCTACCACCCAGTTCCAGATTCTTACCACTCTCTGGGTGAAAAAGCTTTTCCTCACATCTCCTTTAAACTTTCTGCCCCCTACCTTAAATCTACATCTTCTGGTCTATCAAGGAAACCGGTTTTTTCTTGTATACACTAATCGACGTCCCGCAATTTTGCACATTCTCACAAAGGCACACAGTTTACTTCCATCAGTTGAGGCACAGATAATAAAAGAGCACAGAGGTCATGTTGGAGCTGCACAGAACTTTTGTTAGGCCACAGCTATAGAGTATTGTGTGCAGTTCTGGTCTCTGCACTATAGGAAAGATGCAATTACATTGGAAGGGGTACAGGAGGAGATTCTCCAGGATATTGCCTGGGATGGAGAATTTTAGCCATAAAGGAAGCTAGATCAGCTCGGGTTGTTTCTTTTGGAGCCAAGATAGTTGAAGGGGGTCCGGAGTTGAGGAGCATGGCTGGAGTAGAAGATGTTCACCTGAGTTATTGGGGCAATAACAAGGGGGCAATAATTTTAAAGGAGAAAGGTTTACACCCAGAGGGTAGTAGGATGCTGGAATGCACTGCCTGGGAGGACAGCTGAAGTGTGATACCTCACTACTTTAACAAGGACTTGGATGAGTACTTGAAATGTCATAACATTCAAGGCTATAAGCCAAGTGTCAGAAAGTGGATCTAGTGTACATTGAGAGTAGTCTGTCTGTTGGTATGGACTCAATGGGCCAAGAACCACTTCTGCACTGTAGGATTCTGAAATTGCTCTGTTTCACATAGGATAGGGAGTATTTCAATTGCATGAAACAGGTTAGTTTGTTTCCCTAGCTAACAAAAAGAAAAAGAAATCCATCATTGCCTTTCATGTTCCCAAAGCACCTCACTTCCAGTACAGGTTGAGAAGTTACGCAAGTATCAATTTAAGTAAAAAAATCAATGACTAACCACCCTGCAAGACCTAAAATTACCTGTCAAAATTTCAAATCTACAATGATACTGCAAGCATGGCATGTGCCCATTTCAGAACCAAATAGCAAACTCCCACCTTCCAAATGAGCACACACCTGGGCCTCTGTGTCTCTTTTCCATCCAAATGTAGCAATTATTTTGTGCAACACCAGTCTGAGAGTCCAGGAATGGCAGGCGGACACTGCGTTCTGCACACAGCCGGGCATTGTAATTCCGGCAATGTTCAATGGCTTCCTTGTAGAACTGTTCTCCCAGTCTATAGGAAGACAAGAAGCAAATTTATCGTTAGAGAAACATCCAAAACTACACACAAAGGAGTTGTCTAAAGCAGGTGTTCCCAAACTATGACAACAAGATTGAAATTTGGGATTACAAGCTCAGAGGCAGCAATGATTGTTTTCTGACAACTGCAAGCCTTTAAAAGAATCTCATTGCTAGAAGCCATAGTATAGAAACGAGTTATAAATGAGGATGATAGTGACAGAGTCCCTACAGCATCCCCATAGCAATGCCCTGACCAAAATCAATTTGACTTGCTTGGTTGGAATTGAATGAGTCAAACGCACTATGTGAAACCAGGCATTGGCCAAGTGAAGGATCTTAAATGGTTAATCTCTAAAGTCTAATTTTTGCTTCTATTTAGCAACCAACTAAAAGCTACTGTTTAAAGATGTTATTTCTTCCTGGTTTAAATGGGGACAAACAAGCTCTCAGTAGATTTAACTAGTTAATTTATCTGGTTTAGCTCACTTTTGAAAAAATACAAATAATTGAAATAAATAAATGTCAATTAACACAAAGATGGCAAGATAAACGATGTGTCATAACTACAACAAGTGGGAGTTCCTGGATGCCACGGCAATTCATGGTAACAATACACTGCTAGTCTACAGCTGGAGGAGCTTCAGTTCAGTGTCTGAGCTGAGCCACAGACATGTGCCCTATTGGAAGGGGAAAAGCTACTCGCACATTTAGTTCCATAAAGGTAGTCACATCATTTAGGTTAGCTAAAAAAAGTATAAACAGGAATTAGTGACAGGGAGGTGTGACTAGGAGTCAGGCAGGTAAAAGGGATTTGAGAACATGTGAGTGGAGAAGGAGCAGTCAGCCCTTGCAATTGTCCAGCATATTAAAAGACCATAAGATATAGCAGCATTCAGCCCATCAAAATCTGCTACGTCGTTCTGATATTATGGCTGATCTCAAATCAAAACCACTTTCTTGCTTTTTCCTTATAACCTCCAATTCCCTTACTGATTAAAAACCTTTATCTCAGCCTTGAATATTCTTAAACTTGCCTCTATAGCACCTCTGCGATAGAGAATTCCACAGATTCACCACTCTCAGAAGGAAGTCCTCATCTATCTGGAGTGGGCAATCCCTAATTCTAAAATTATGCCTTCTGGTCCTAGACTCTCCTACAATGAGAAACAACCTTCATCGTCTACTCAGTCAAGTCCTCAAGAATCATGCATTTTTCAATAAGGTCACCTTTCTCTTAGCTAAACTCCCATGAGTACAGGCACAACTTACTCACCTCTCCTCATAAGGATAGGTAGTTTCTCCATATACAGGGAGAATCTAGTGAACCTTCTCTTGACTGTCTCCAATGCCAGTATATCTCTTTTCCTCAAGGGAAAAAAAAAAACTGTTCACATTATTCTAGGTATGGTCTAACTAATGTTTTGTATGGTTTTTGCAAGGCTTCCTTTAAGCTCCATTCCTTTTGAAATCAAAAAAAAGGTCAACATTCCATTTGCCTTTGTTATTATCTGCTCAAGTTATATGCTAGCATTTTTGAGATTTATGCACAAGGACTCAAATCCCTTTGTGCCGTAACTTACTGCATTTAAATACAATTTTTCCACCCGTCAAAATTTTTTTTGCCTATTTGTTTAATTTGTCTATAACCCTCTGCGGATTGTCATTCTGCCCATTTTGTGTCATCCACAAAATTTGGGCTGTCATAGATTCACTTCCCTCATCCAATTATCTAGTATTCGCCCTCCACTGATCCTGGTGACATTGTGGTTTGCCATCCTAAAAAATGACTCCCTTTTTCCAACTCTTTGGCTAGCTAATAGAAGACTTGTTTGTCTGTGTGTCTGTCGTCGATCAATGCTAATGCACTACTGCAAACATGTGTTCTCAGAATCCCTACAGTGTGGAAACAGGCCCTTCGGCCCAACAAGTCCACACTGACCCTTAGAGCATCCCACCCAGACCCATCCCCCTATAACCCATACACCCCTGGGCACTACAGGCAATTTAGCTTGGCCAATCCACCTAGCCTGCACATCTTTGGACTGTGGGAGGAAACTGGAGCACCCAGGAGGAAACCCACGCAGACACTGGGAGAATGTCTGTCTGTGTGGAGTTTGCACAGTCGCCCGAGGCTGGAATCAAACCCAGGTCCCTGGCGCTGTGAGGCTGCAGTGCTAACCACTGAGCCGCCCGAACCTTGTGCTGTACTTGAAGGGCCTTCTAAAAATTCAAATATTAGATCTAATGCTTCTCCTTTATCTATTGTGCTGGTTACCTACCTCAAAAGAATTCTAATAAAATGCGTCAGGCACAAATTCCTCTTCGTGAAGTCTTGTGGTCTCTGCTTGATCATATAATGTATTTTTAAATACAGTGTTATTATATTCTTTATAAATGGACTTGATAACAGACATTAAGCTAACTGGCCTATAGTTACTCGTCTTTTGTTCCCTCCTTCCTTTTTGAGAAAGGTGTTACATTAGCAATTTTGCAACCCTTCTGGGACTTCTCCAGATTCTAAGTATTCTTTGAAGATTACTGCAACTACTTATTTTAATATCCTAAGATGTATCCCATCAGGTCCAGGGCACTTATCAATCTTTAGTGAAATCAGTTTCCCTCGTATGTTTTTCCCCCTGGTGATTGTACTTACTTACCCTACTCCTACTGGTCTTGATTGAGTAGTTTTGGAGTGTTATTTGCTGCGAAGAATGATGCAAAGCATTTATTCAAATCTTCTGCTATTTCATGGTATCCCATTGTTCCAGCCCTCACTGACTTTTAATTATTTCATTCTTTTATAAATTTTTGCCCTTATTTCAAGGGGATTGGAGTATAAGAATAAGGAAGTCTTACAGCAAGTCTACAAAGGTGCTGGTGAGATCATCTGTTGTACCAAGAGTAGTTTTGGTCACTATTTCATTGGAAACTGATCAGAGAAGGTTCATTAGCATGGTCTGCAGTTTGAAGGGATTGTTTTATGAACAAAAAGGCTAAAAAGGCTGGGATTCCAATCACTATGAATGAGAGGTGGTGATCTCATTGAAACATGTGAGGATCCTAGTGAATGGCAAAGCTGGCTCAAGAGGCTGAAAGGCCAACTCCTGTTCCTATTTCTTAATAGAATAGAATCCCTATACAAAAGGTGGAAGCAGGCCATTTGGCCCATTGAGTCCACACCAACTCTGAAGAGCATTCCATCCAGACCTACCCCATCCCTGCATTTCTCATGGCTAATCCACCTAGCTTGTATATCCCTGGACACTATGGGCCATTTAGCATGGCCAATCCACCTAATCTGCACATATTTGGACTGTGGGAGGAAACCTGAGCACCCAGAGGAAAACCACAGACATGGGAGAATATGTAAACTCCACAGTTGCCCAAGGGAGGAATTGAGCCTGGGTACCTGGCACTGTGAGGCAGCAGTAACAACTACTATGACTGTGCCACCCCATGGTCTTAATTTTTGTTTGGAGCTGTGAACAGGGAACTGTGACCAATGATTTTTGGACTGTGGGTAATAGCTTGTGTTAAAGAGGAAAGCAGATCAAGTGAGCTTTTCTTTGTTCACAAGGCCAGGCCTGGAAGTTAAATGCAGGTTGGCTCCAGATCAAAAAAAGGTTCTGTTGATGCTTTGTCACCAAGGAGCATCATGTTTAAACAACTGGCTACCAATCAGGTAGAATTAGAATTGTTAAGTTCTAATAAGTCTGGAAAATACCTTTTATTCAAGCAGATTGCAGATATTGACATGGTAACTAGGACAGAGCAAGCGGAGGAAAAAAAGAGGAGACAGAAGAGAGAGAGAGCGCTCCTAGCCTAACCCCCGCAACAAGCAGCTCTCAGAAATTAGAAAACTAAAGTTTAAGTATTACTGCTTTTATCCTGGTGAACTATAAACAGAACAGTGACATCTTCAGAAAAAAAAAAAAAACAACCACCTAAAAACCATCTTTGTCTGTGAAACAACACTGAAAAGCCACTTAAGTAATCTGGCCAGTTTTATTTTCTTTCATTTATCCCTGAAGCATTTGTTGTCTTTTATGTGACTGACACAAAACACACATTGTGGGTTTATAGCATAGACCAAGTTGACTAATATAGCAAAATTAAAAACAAATTAATTAAAGTTATTGTATTATTAATAAATTGCTAAATCCTTTGTTTAAATTATAAACCAGTGTCCAGAATTGAATATTCTCAGATTGGTTATTCAAAAGTCTGGTTAGGACCCTTTGGGGCCAATTTTGAGGGTCTTTGAAAGCTTTAATTTTACTATTTTGCACATAGAGCTAGAAAGGCTGAGTTGGTTTATTTCCCTAGCCTATTCCCCTCAGGGCCTTTGTTCACTTTGGCCTCTCTCCTTTTTTAATAGATTTAAAATTAGCTTTTGCCGTTCACTTTAGTATTACTAACAAGTTTGCCCTTTAAGTTTGTAGGAAAGCAGTATTACAGAAATTGGATTTAAAGAAAAAAAAAGACAAATTCCTTGGACCTGATCTACATCAGTTTGTTGAAAGAGGTGGCTGTTGAGTTCATGGATGCATTGGTGGTATTCTTTCAAAAGTGTAGAGAGTCTGGCATTACAGCTGATTTGAAGGTGGGACATGTAACTCCAAAATTTTATATAAAAGAGCAAAGTGGTAGACTTGTGATAGGGTTAGACAGAAGGAAAATTGCTGGAGTCAATTCCAAAAAGGATTAAAAAAAAACTCAACCCCCAAAGCATCCTTTTTCTGGCTTAGTGCAAATTGTGTAGTGATTTTTACCATGAGGCTTAAATCAGATTTTCTTCACTAAAAAAGGGCAGAAAGAAATGGGTCTTTCTGAGAAAGACGACAAGTGTCTCACCACCCCTCCTCCCGGGGTGGATGTCCCTAAACATGTTCAAATTGTGGTTAATCATGCCAAATCCATATTTGGAAATAAAAAGGGTAATGGGAGGAACAGGTAATGGGAGGTAAGGCAGCCACGTTGGTCTATTTAAGT